AAACAAAACCAATTACATGTTCAAAGCAACGGAACGGTGGCCCAATATCAGAGAGAACTCCACTCTTGAGTGAGCAGTGATGATTGAGCAGTCCGTTTCATTTTGCAGATTCAAGCTGCTCTTCAAAATTTTCACCACCAGATGTCACCGGAGAGGACTGTGTTGAAAAGCTTCGAGTAATGAACCATTTTTCAATACAAGCTTCAGTGCTTCGGAAAGCTTCATTTGGCCATCACTACTATCCATGCTGTAGTGTAGTTTACTGAATTTACGAGGTTCACTTAAAGGCATGATGAATCTCAAACGCATATTGAACCGTAACCTACATAACCATACAGGTACAAAAAGGAAGAAAAGTGAGATGTACCAAAATAAAAGCAATATATTTTGGGTGTGGCGCTTCATTTTCTTCCTGTTTGTTTGACTTAATAGACTCGCTTTGTTCTGAGTTCACGTCAGTCTTTGTGGTTTGCTTCTCAGATTCATGATGAGTGTTCCTGTAGAGGAAGACAAAGACAAAGCAGAGTCTGCAGGGTCTAGCAGTCTGCCCATAAAGAGTGAACAGTCCAAAGGAAATTTACCGATCTTCAGTTTTGAACCTGGATCCGGAGAGAAAAGGTAAGAGAACTACTGCTAACTCCTTTACGATTTATGTTCATTATTTCTAATCATTTTTTTTGTTCTTAATGGTTAACTTTATGTTAAAATATTTCCTACAAATATTTTTATTGTTGTATGTAATTTGAATTAACCTAGCATTTAAGCAATAATTTGACTGCACAAGACAGGTAAATGATGGAAAGACAAGAACACAGCTTTACTGTTTCTACCAGAATTCTCGCCTTCATTTGAAAGATCAATCCAAATAACATGAAATGCATCCTCTTTCCTTTTAGCTGTATTGTAACTAGTGAGCACAACTTCCAGTGTTACGAAAAAAACCCCAAGATCTTCAATTTCAAAGCTTTTTTTTTTTTGTTAAATCAAGCTCGATTTCTTTTCCAGAATTTTCATATCCAAATAAACACATATGACCAATCAGATTTAGCAACACGTACGCTCATAGCTCAAATCACGCACTGGAATATGTAGTGATATACAATGATTTGGAAATAGTAAGACTATTTTACCTGCTCTCTGAAATTATTTCTATGAAATTATTTCTTATTGTCCTCGGACGTCGTCCAATTTCCAATTCAACATTAATGAATCAATGGTACGGAAGTGGAGGAAGCGCAGTTATGCCCTTCCTCATATTTCGCAACGTGCTTCGTCTCTTTGTGATACTGTCGCCCAACATAATTTGCAGATGATATTGCTTGCAGCTGCTCTGATGCTTTTGACCAAAACAGGCGCAGTTTGATGACACCATCAACATGCGCTGTCACGGTAGAGCGGTATAGTCAAAATCTCTACCGTTGGCCAAATTCATATAAATATAAAATCTCATGGAGTTTTCCACCATCATTACCTTTCTTATAGTTTCTTCTTTGTCTTAATGAAAAGGACACGCCTTTTGGGACAATTGATTGTTTGTAATGACAGAAAAACTGTTGCCTGTGGGTTTTTTTTGTTTGTTTTTTTTTTGGTAATAAATCCATTTACTAGAGAGTGATCCTAAGTCACTTGTGGTGTACCATCTTTTCCTGAGTAACAATCAGATATTCACTCACAGAAAGACCTTTCAATGGTAATTGTTGAGTTTTTGGCATGAAATGAATGAAAACATGGTTGTGTTTGCAGAAATCAAGAAATAGCACCTCAAGTATCCAGCTCTGTGTCTATCAACAGTGACAAGTCTAAAGAAGAATCTCCATACTTCAGTAATGAACTTGGACCCTCAGACACAGGGTAAGAACTAATTTCAGAACTGAGTAATAATCTTCTGTTCTACGAAGAGACTTAAAACCAGACTTAAACCTCAAGGACATCATTTGACTTTAAACAAATTTCTCCAGGAGAAAGAAAAGCAAGCCTGGAAATAGGCCTAATTTGAATGAATCAAGATTCAAACTGGTCAAATGCAGCAGAGACGAAGAGAGAATATAGATATGATTGGATTTAATGAAAAGATTGCATGAAAATATGAGAAACGAAGGAATTTTTCTAACATAATCCCTTCATTTCAGGGGCTCTAAAGTAATTAGACAAATTAAATAACTGAAAATAAAATGTTGATTTCTAATACTTTGCCAGCAAATAGTTTTCAACAATGACAGCCTGAAGTCTTGAACTCATGGACATCACCAGATGCTGGGGTTTCCCCCTTTTTTTTTATTTTTTAATGCTCTGCCCCCCAGTCAGTTTGACTGCATTTAGCTGGATTTGAGCAGATAGTACTTTATTATTATTATTATTATTATTATTATTATTATTGACCACTCAGAGTAGAGCAGAGTAGAGCAGCTGCTGCTCCACATCGAAAGGAGCCAGCTGAGGTGGTTCGGGCATCTGACAAGGATGCCCCCTGGGCGCCTCCTGGGTGAGGTGTTCCAGGCATGTCCCACCGGGAGGAGGCCCCGGGGCAGACCCAGGACACGCTGGAGAGATTATATCTCTCGGCTGGCCTGGGAACGCCTTGGTATTCCCCCGGATAAGCTGGAGGAGGTGGCTGGGGAGAGGGAGGTCTGGGCCTCTTTGCTTAGGCTGCTGCCCCCGCGACCCGGCCTCAGATAAAGCGGATGAAGATGGATGGATTATTGACCACTGTATAAAATTGGGGAAAAGGCTTCAATGCACTTCACTCTGGCGGGAAGATGAAGCTACAGGAGAGTGTCACGATCTGAGGGGACAGACCGTGCGGTGGTGTGTGTGTGGTGGACCCAGGTGCGAACACAAGAGAGTAGACTGGAGTAAACTGAAAGCGAGCCTTTATTGTGGCTGATGACAGGTCTCAACACAAAGCAGAAACACTGTGACTAAACTGAACCTAAACTAAACTGGGAAACAGATACTGATAAACTAAGGAGACTCAGAAAACCATGACGATGATTGTACAGACTGGCTGTGAGGACATGGAGGGTGGGAACACAGACAACGCGACACAGACTACATGAAACACAGAGACTAAATACACATGAGGGATAATCAGGGGAAGTGGCCACACATGGGAGCACAGCTGACACACATAAACCTAACAACAGGACAGGAGAGGTGAAACTAAATCCACTGACATTGAATACAGACTTTCAAAGTAAAACAGGAAACATGGAGATTAGACATGACATGGACTAAACATAACCACGCAGACGTGACACATGAACCAGGGAGACTTAGTACAGGGGGAGATGACATAAACAACTAAGGAACAAAACTAAACAGCAATCTAGAAATTAACTAGGTGAACTAAGCTAGGGCACAAATGAATACAAAAGATGCATAAAACTCAAACACTGGGTCGCTTGACCCAGGACCATGACAGAGTTTAACAATTGTAAACCAGAGGTTTGACATTTTGAGTGACAGGTTTGAGAAACGGCAAACAAACAGTGACTTCTGGCAAGCCATACACACCGGCACTATCCCACACACTGGCACCACATTCCACCTCACAGAAACCTGGTTATAGCAGGATATAACCAAGCCCAGACTTGTTTCATGAGTTTGTCTCTCAGCTGGCTTCGAATTATCTCTGGATGCCGTCTCTCCTAACAAGACGAGGCTTTCCCTAGAAAGTTTCCCAATTCTCTACAAAGCTCACATTGTTTTTTTGGACACCACTTAGACCACCAGCAATTTAAGGAGAGCATGCGACTAAATGTGTCACACCTGATCCAACTGGGAAGGGGACCAGAGAAAACTAGTCCAGCATTGTTAAACACCCATTCAATATTGATTTTGGTGACCTTCAATTGAAGTAACAGGATGTCATTACTCCTGATGTGATCATTTTACCTGATCTACAATTTACTCTTAACTAGCACTTTGAGGGTTTCTTAGTGTCTCCTACTCTGGCCCCTATGTTCCCTTCTCACCTTTACCCAGGGGCCTGGCTGGCCATGTGTTTTTCAAAGGTTCTGAGCTGGGTCTCCAAGTCATTGGTCCTGGCCTCAGGAGCTGGAAAAAGGGCTACATTTATTAGAACTACCAGTATTAACTAAAAGAAGCTGAGGAATAACCAAGCATTTTACACACAGAGCAGGAATGTGAAGAGGCCATGCTGCTAGTGAGTTGACTATGACCTAAGCTAAGACTAAGATATCATTAGAAGGTGATTCAATTGAGTTTGGTCTTTGGATAAAGCACAAGATTACGTTATGGAATAAGATGTCTTCCAAGAGTTTTTAATTAAATGAAACGTACAGATAAGCTACTCACATCTCTGCTGTGTATTGGGACAGGAAGAGAGAGAGGCAACACCAAGTCAGAGCACCACCACCAGGAAATATGCAGTCTATACTGCTTAGATTGCTTAACATCTATGATGTGTTCCACTGATGTCTGACTGCATTGTGATTCACAGTTTTATTAAGTAGATGAAATTTGCAAAGATAATTCTGTTTTTATTCACCAGAGAAAGAGTTAAGAGGAAAAGAAGCAACTTGACTGCAGTACCAGCACTACCTGCTGCTCTTCTGTTCCATGAACTCTAGCCTGTCCATCTAACTTTGAGGAAAAATCTTATGTTTTTAGCCTTGTGAAACAATCAGCCATCCCTTCATAGTCATTGATATTTACTCACAGAAACACCTTCCATAATAGGTAATGAATTGGTTTTTGAAGTGAAATGAATAAAAATATCTCGTTTGCAGAGGTCAGAGAAAAGCATATCAGGTTTCCAGCTGTTTGTCTATGAAGAGTGACTGGTCCAAAGAAGAAGCTCCGTACTTCAGTAGTGAACTTGGATCTTCAGACACAAAGTAAGAACCTGATGTCATGTGAGTGATTCTTTTACAACAAGCAAACCTACAATTTCTTTTTTTTTTTTGAGTTTTTTTTTTTTAAACCCAGCAACAAGGAAAATGGTTACACACAAACCAACACTGTAGTGCAATGACGTGGTGCAGACATTTACCATCAGTTAACACCAGGTATACATCACCTCGATGTCCTCCATTGTTGTCTTAGGTTTGTGTCACATACAAAGAACATCATGGGACTTTTGGACTGCATTGCTATAAGTCTGTGAAGGTTCTCAGTCATCCAGCGTCTGGACTTCTTTTCCAAAGGATGGGAGGAGACCAAAAAAAAAACAGCAGACATGATTCTGGATCATAACGATGTTCTTATCCTGCACAAGAATTTGATTTGTAATTTGTTCATGCCAGACATCCAATTTTATTTTCTTCCCACTGTGTTTGTGTGTGAAAATTGTGTCAGATGGAGAAGCCAGGATAATGTTTTTATGTTTTATTAAACCAATTCAGGCTGAATATCTGAAGTTTTGAATATTGTTTCCATGAGAAAATTCTTTAATTTTATTTACATCTAAAGCTCACCATGCTGTGAGAATAAAGGCAAGTGTTAGTTAAAGTAAAAGTTAAAGACTGTTAGAAATGCATTATAATATCAAATCTGGATGGTTTGTTTTTTCAAAAACAGTGAGCAAATAGTTTTACTAATAAAGAAATGTGTTCACAGAAAGAGTAAAAGGAGTGGTGTATGTGAGGAGGAGCAGCTGTCCTGCTGTGCTGTGTGTCAGGACGTCCTGAAGGATCCAGTCTCTACCAGTTGTGGACACTGGTTCTGCAGACAGTGCATCTCCGCATACTGGGACCAGTTGGCTTCATCAGAAGACTCCTCTTGTCCTCAGTGTGGAAAAAGATCCAGAACCAGAGCTGGACTACAGACAGCTAATCAGAGCAGCTGTGTACAAAGTAAGACTGAACATTTGTCTACTGATGGACTCATTTCTAAAAACCTGATGGAAATATTAACATTTCTCCACAGCAGCACAGTGGTATGGTGGTTAGCAATGTTAGCGCACAGCAAGGAGGTCCTGAGTTCAATTCCACCATCAGGCCAGGGTCTTTCTGTGTGGAGTTTGCATGTTCTCCCCATGTTTGCTGCTTAATTAAAAAAAATAGTTTTTTAATTAAGCAGCAAGGCAGAACAAAATCAGGGCTGTATCAAGACACGAGGACTAAACCCCAATTCAACCAGACCCAGAACTGATCCGGAATTAAAACAAAACTACAACAGTTCAAAGTCAGGACTACTGAGGACTAAACCAAATCCCAACCAGAATCAGAACTAGATGATAGTAGCACTAAAAACCATCATAGACCTGCACTACACTTATTTTTTAATTCTACCAAAGTACAATATTTAGATTGAGAAAAGTTTATATAATTATTTAGCCTTGTTGTGCAAACAAGCCTGTAGAACTTAATAAATATAGAATTTGAAAAGTAACAAACCTAAAAAGAAACACTAGGTACTGGATACATGAGGACCTATGATACGGTGATACTTTTGGTAAACAACCATTTGACTAACATGTGTGTCTCACCTGCTCTTGTTCATCTCTGTTCCTCTCTCTCCCTCATTGTGCTGACCTGACAATCATCAAATAAACAGTTGAAACCAGATATTTACAAACTCTTCAGATGAAAACACTTTTTTTTAAATTGTAACATCAAATCAGACTAAATGTTTATTTTTTTAGATTGATAAATATAAAAAACATATTTGTTAACTTTAAGAGTAAGATAAGATAAGATAAGATAACCTTTATTA